GAGGCCCAGCCCAAACCACCAAAGGGGGTTTGCTGGCTGCGCTTGGCCTTGGTATAGAGGTGGGCATCAGCGGGAGCCTGCGCTGGAGGGGAAGGGGACGGGGGAACCGAACGGCACGGTCGGTAGCCAAGGATGGGCTTTGCTTTAAAACGGAACCGTGTCAGCCCAGCCCTGCGAAGCCACAGTCAAAGGTGTGACTGCTCAGCGCCGTCACAGCGCGAGATTTAATCACCTCTGCCAGGAGGTCTGTAATTACGTGTGTGGCGCTGCCTGCTCTCCGCCAGCGCTGCCTGCGTCGAAGGGAGCGGGTCCAGGCGTGCCTCGGCGGTGGGGAAACAGGCAGCGGCTGCATCGCGAGAGGGAGAGAAGCGTGAGTGCCGCCTCCCTGCGGCTCTGGCGTGTTCGAATCGGGCGGTTGCGTGCTGGAAACTGGCTCGTCTTGGGCCAAACGTTACAACCTGTAGGACTGGTCCCTCATCTAGGTTGGTTTGGGTTAAAGCACTTAAAAAAAAAAATAATGCTAGGAGACGCCGAGAAAGCAACCTGCGTTTTTGGAAGGATAAAAGCGTTTCTCATCAATTTGGGATCAAGGTGAAAAAAAAAAATAAATCTCTTTGTGAGCCTCCCTGATGCTCTGGGAACGCTCAAGAGCAGTGGAACCAGGCGATTAACTCGAAACAGGTCCCGTGCGGAGGGGAAGGACCCTCGGTGGCACCCGGGGCTGCTGCTGCCCCGGGAAGGGGGGAGCCCTGACCTCCCCCCCTCTTGCCGGAGTGGACTTGGCAGAGCTCCTTGACCCCGACACCGCTCCATCCGGCGCCGGTGTCTGAGGAAGGAAGGATGCGGTCTCCTGTCCTAAGGGGTTACAGCAGCCTCAAACCCATATAAAGCAACAACTTTATTAATCCCAGCTTTGCTAATAAGGAATTACAATAGTTGTGGGATTTGGCAGGGGGAGCAGGCTCGGTTGCCATGCAGAGTACAGTATTTTCCCTGTTTTGTTTGTATTTTTGATTTAACTACAAATAATTTAAAGATGTGTTGTGTCTCCTTCAATTAAAATTTGCGTCTCCATCCTCTCTCTCTTTTTTTTTTTTGTCGCAGTTTTAAAACAATGCTAATGAATTTGAGCTTGTCAGATGCGCTAAGATAGATTGTTAACGTCTTCCTTTTTGCTAAAATTGCAGTGTTTCTAAGGGGGGGCAGTTATTAACATTTCAGGATTTGGTTTTGTTTCCTTTGTAAAATTTGCAGTGTTATTGTAGTGCATGGAAGATCTCCCAGTGTCAAAAAACTTGAGGCCGATAGAAGAATAATATTGTCACAAGGCCAGTATGTAAATACCTTAAACCAATATAGCATGTTTAGAGGAATTACACTTTCCTCTCCCAAATTACAATTTTGGAAAGCAACTCTACCACCACATTTATTTCAAATTTAAACATTTTGAAAGAGTATCTCCTAGGTTTTGAAATCTGGTTTCCATTCCTGGCTCTGTTTGACCTACTGTGTGACCCTGAGAAAATCTTTTTCTCAGTTCCTGTATCTGCTTAGTTGCTCTGATGATCTTCAGCGCTCGTGCAGAGCGATTTAACATCCGTCGGTGTCGAGCTATGTCTAACATTTCAGTATTCGATAATAGCGGTTTTAGTTCAAGATGAGTGGGGTTTGGCTATGATGAAAAAAGAGAAAATTAAAACTCTTTTATTTTTTAAAAGCTGTATTGCTTTAAAAATTCCTTGAGTTTGCATAAAAAAAGTTGAGTGATTTTCTCTAAAAAGAAATGACTGCCCAGAGGCAAAGGACGGTTCTCCTGTGAGCAGACTTGGGGAAAGAACTAAGGAAAAAAGGCCGAGAGCTCTGTAGCTCCCCGTGATGATGAGCCTTGGAGGGGGACTGATTTCTTGCCTTTCTTCCATCTTTCAGACGCAGCCGGTGCCCAACCCCATCGCCTACTTCATGCATCGCTCGCCGTGGTGGTTTCACCAGTTCGAGACCCTGGTCAATCACTTCATCGAGCTGGTGGTGCCGTTCTTCCTCTTCCTGGGGCGGCGGATGTGCGTCGTACACGGCCTCTTGCAGATCCTCTTCCAGGTGAGATGCTCCTGGGTTCGCTTCCGAAGGGTCACGTCTTCACCCAGGTCAGAGCAGGGGGGTGTTGGAAGGGTGTAGAACCCCCCGCTGCCTGTAGGGTGGCCTGGGAACCGGGCG